AGAGACAGGTATTTGCTGCCAAGCAGGGGAAGGAGAGACCAGATCAAAGTGCCTAAGGTGTATGAGTGTCCGCTTGCGTTTTATTTTTCCCTGTGTAGCTGCCCTTGCAGCCGTCTCTTGGCTGGGGACGTACCTTGGGCTGGGGACCCTGTGGGTGTCGGGATCCGCGAGGTTACTGGTGGCACTCGCGGAAAGTTTGGGAACGGCGGCGGTGGGGGGCAGCCGGAGCCGCCGCTGGCCCGGATCCCGGAGCCTGACCCGGCTTTGAGTGAATGCGAAACTGAGCTGACTTACCGACACTTTACCAGCTCGGAAATAGGAAACTGAAAAAAACCGCCCGGGGTTTTGATGCCTTTTTAATGTCTGTGGTGTGCTGGTGGAAGCGAGTAGCCTCTCCGCGAACAGCAGTGACGTGCCATTCTTGGTGCTGTCATTTGTGGGTCTAGAGTGTTTGTCGGCTTTAGCGTTAAAGAATCGAGAATAGAGCCTGTCTTATGTATTTGCAGAGGCTGTGACCAACTGTGCTAGGCGAAGTAAGCAATAGTTTGTAGAAATAAATCGGCATGCCAGTTCTGAAGGGAGGAAGGTACTCAGTTTGAGTGTGCTCTGTTGAGGTCCCTTTAGTATGTAGGTACAAAGAAACAGCAGCAAAGTTCTCTCTTTCCAGTATGTCTGGGCAAAATAAGGTAGCGTAAGATGAGTAAAACAGGTAATTAACAGTTGCATGTGCAGAAACCAGTCCTGGATGGGTTTTGAATGTGCATTCCAGGTGATTGCAGCATCAGCAAAAGCAAACACAGGGGTGCAGGTTTTTTTTTTTTTACGTGTATGTTCGTAGGTCTGCAGGTGTGAAGCATCCTCGAGGTATTCCCTACCTACAGTTCCATTCTTAGATACTCATGTATATGAATCAGATTTTTGGAAGCTTCTCCTGAAGTTTTTTTCATCTTGGATGTTTTTGTTTCATGCTTCCGTTTTCGGAAATGGCGTCCTTATTTGGTTTAATCTCTGCAGTAATTCTCCTTCAGTTCGTTAAGGCATTTGTAGGATCTTTACAAAATTCTGTCTCTATACGGAGTCTTAACACTGCAACAGTATGTGTAACTGCTGGAGAGAAAGTAGTAGCCCTTGATTTCTAGCAGTAAGGTCCAATATAGGGTATTTATTACAGGTTATGTGTTCCTTATTTGACAGGACTGAATTATTGCATCTTTCAGCAAAAGTGTGTAAAACTAATTGATTTGTATACATAAGAAGTATTTCAGTTATCATGGTTTCTTCTTTCTGTTCAGGGAAGGCAAGCAAAATGTTAATATAAAATATGGACCATTCTGTAAATGTTTTGGGCAATGTTTATACATCACAAAAAGGTAAAAGCTTATTTTTCCAGCCTGTAGTTTGCTGGTGGTTACTCTTGGCTGTTTATGTTTGTGTGAGGCAACTCTTAACCAGATTAGATGCATTAGCTTTCTTACATTTTTTTTTTAAGGTAAATAAATCTCACTAAGTTTTATTCTGGAGTTTTGATATTCAGCTGCTATATATATGTTTTTTTAATGTATGTGGAAACTGATTTTAGGATTTTTTTACTACTGTTCAAGTAGTTTTAATACTTTAGGGGCTTTAGTATATTTTTTCTTTAAATTTCTTTTTCCTCAGTACAGTGCCTTTGTAATAGAATAAAATAAGTTTTTCTCTACATAGTCTTTTTGTCTAGCATGAAAATTGGTATATGAAACTATGTCTTGCTCTGAGATGCCCAGAATTACTGCTTAGCATTTTTGAAGCATCACCTTTAGAAGTTTATTTTTTCTTGGTCTACTATATGATGCTTTCACTTGTATTTGCAACTTAAGCTATGTTTAATGACGTGTGCATCTGCAATGTTTCTTTCATTCCAAAGATCTTGGAGGACCTGGAAATTGCACTCCTCTATCTAAAAAACAGTAACTATTAGTACTGATAGCAGTAGACTACTGTCTTTATATGGAGGCCATCACTGATTAGTAGATCCCTACAGTCACAGTACGTCTAAAGTCTGCTGCAAATTTTATTGGCTAATTGCTGAAATTGTGGAACAAAACAACTTCTTTAGAAAAATAGTACTTTTTTTGTCTGTTTTTTGTTAACTCAATACTTTTTCATGCTTGTCTGCATGCCCTGAAAACATTTCCATTACAGTTGTTGTCATACAGTGTTTGTCTTTGTGTCATGATAAATCTTGTAGTCTTGAAATTAAATTGTTCAAAATCCATTCAATATTTTAGTAGTGATTAAAATGAAAGTTTTTCTTCTTGTAACAAATGGCCAGTGCTTTTTTGATGCCATAGCAGTGCACGGGTGCTATATACCTGTATTTTAAATTTTAACCAGCATGTATTTTTTTGCATTTGAATTATTAAATACCCAAGGGAGTTTTTTTAGATGTTGTAGGGAACAAGTTATGTCCTTCTCATATATTGTTAAGCCTGTTTAGATTAAGATTGGTAATCTGTTGCTAGACTCTGGATATATATGTGTAAACCCAAACTTTATATAGTTTCAGCTCTGTAAATTTGGGAGCTTTGTTAATGACTTTCTAATGAACATGCTTAATATTCATTTTGGTTTTGCATAATAAGAGACTTCAGCATGGTCTATTAAAGCCATCCAGATTCAATCTGTGTAATAAAGTTATGTGATGACACTGCTCCAAACAATAACTACAGAAATGTAAAACATAAAATGTTTTGGTTTTTTGGGTTTTCTACCTCATTAAAAAAAACCCTCAGATTGAGGGGTAGAAATGCATATTGTCTCTATACTAAAGAAAGATGTGATATCTGGAAACAGACTCATGGCTGAGAGAGTTGCAAGAACGGAATGACCTGAAATATAAAAGGCAACACAGAAAGGAGAATGTAGGATAACCTATACAAGTAAAAAAGTTAATTTGAACATGTAAGGCCAATATTGGAAAGGCCAAGACTCAGAAAAGAATGTAACAGGCAAAAAAATAATATTCCTTAGGAAGTCCATTAGTATGAAGCTGAATAATAAAAAATAACTGTTAGGCAGCCATCAAGGAAAGCTATTGGATGGCTGATGCTGGGAAGAACAGTGTTTTAAACCTCTTCCTGTTCTGGTCTTCACTTAAAATTATAGTTTCAATGAGCTGTGCTAATAAATGTTAGTACTTGGCTTAGATAAACAGATTAGATAAGTAGGTAATTTAGATGTTTTTGAATGCTCTAGACCTAATGAAGTCATACTTCAATACCTGAAGAAATGATTGAAACAACATGTGATGTTGATAGTTATTTCTGAGAAGTGCTGTTTCATTGAGGTTTCCTAACACTATGAGAGACGATTTTTTTTCACCAAAGTTTGTGTTGCCACTTTTGACTGGGTCTAAATAACTTTTCATTCAGTGTTTTGGTCAGATGCTCTGTACTGACCTTGGAAAATACTTAATTCTCTGTTGGCTTGGCACACTT